GGCGCGAGCACTTCCGGGCTCGAGGCTCGGGGCATTTCCTTGTTTGTCCGGTTGTCCCGACCGCATGTCGGTCGGGACGCGGGACAAACAAGGAAATATCGGGACGGTCCCGATAAAATCGGGACGTCTGGTCACCCTATAGGGGAACCAGGCTTGCAGGCAACTCCGGATTCCAGCCCAGGGACCCTGTGACGAGCAATCCAGATCTGCTTAGTCTCAATCCCTGTTGCTGTTTCCCTGAGCTCCTTCCTACCCCACCCCTCTATCTCTGGATTTCCACTGGAATTGCCTCAGCTCCCCATGGCTACTTCCCCCCTCTTGTCCTTTTGCCAGACTCCCTCGTCCAGGGCCAGATTCCAAATTCCAAGGTGTGCTCTCCCCCTGGACTTCCTCCTTGTCCCTGACCAACTCCCTTTCCCTCTAGACAGTGGCTGCAGGCCCCTGCTGTGTAGCCCCCTCCTGCTCTCACTTCCTGGCTGTATTATCCTGTCCCAGCTCCTCCCTAGCAGGGCTTCATCTGCAGTTAGGCCTTATCAAGCCCTGGCTCCCCTCCAGGTGCAGCAAATAGGGTTAATTTGCCCCTTCTGGCCCACATTAACCTGCTCGGGACTCCTGTAGAGGGAACACCCCATCCTGCCCTCCACGTCTCCATCCCTATAACGGGATACCACGGATGGAGCAGTGAGACGTCACCATTATGATTCGTCCTAGTGCAGCGCTGGGGAGATCAATGTGAGCTATCGTTATATTCTGTCTTTCAAGTGAGCGTCACGCTAGGGTGAGGAGCCAGCTCGCCACACTGGGATGGAAGTCTCCCATCTCTGCAGCATCTGCCACCCAAGCTCAGGAATGAACCTAGGTCTCCTGCTTTGCCTCGTGCAGCTCTCGGCCAGCCCATGAAATCTGTGTTGTGGCTCAGGGGCAGGGTGGATATTTTTATACCTTTGTTATTGTTATGTAAATCGCCCAGCATGTTGTCTGCTGAGCCATTCGCAGCAAATGTCGGTCTGTCCAGTGGGGCATATGGTAACTGCAATTCTGCCTCATTGCTTGGGTGTCCATCGACCGTTATTGCCTGTCTGTTTCCTAGGGTGACCCCATTACTATTTTTGGACCTCAAGGCTATAAAGGCAACAAAGGAGATCCGGTAGGTTGTGACCGTTCTCTTTGAAAGCATGCCTGCCCTTCAGTAATTGGGAGCAGTTCATTCTCTCATCTGCAGTAGTAGTCATTGGGTATATGTCTACACTGCAGTGGAAGCCCAGGGTTCAAACCCAGGCACCAGTCTAACCCCCCTTACATCATGCTAAGCCAGGGTTCAGACCCAGGATTCCATGGGCATGGAGGGTCTGAGCCTGGGTCAAGCTGGGACCCAGGGTTCAAGCCCTATTGCTTTGTAATGTAGACTCCTGCTCTAGGAGTCTGCCAACAGTATCCCACAGGCTGACTCTCTTTGGCTGGTGGACAGTCAAGTTTTCCTGCACTGCACCATGAACAAATGGTTAGAGCGGCCACATTTTGGGAGATTGTTAGGAAGTTTGGGGTATGGGTGGTTGGACTCGGGCCCACATAATGCAGTATAGATGCTGGAGCCCCAGGTTGGGACCCAAGGTTCAACAATTTCTCACCTGGGGTTACAAATGAGTATAGGCACTCAAGCCCTAGGTTAACAAACCCAGGGTCTGCTAACTCGAGTTCTACTAACCCTGGGCTTACGTTGCAGTGTAGATGGACCCTAAGAGTCACAGAGTTTAAAGCTAGCAGGGGCCACCAGATCATCCAATTTGACCTCCTGTATATCACAGGCCACCAAGCACCATCTAGCCACCCCCCACCCCAAGCCAACTGTCAGAATTAGACCCAAGTATTACAAACCTCAGTCTTAACCTACTTGATTGGTCTTTACTGCTCTCCTGTGTTCCGTGTCCTGGTTCTGGTTTCTGTGTGTTCAGTGGCTTTTGAGATGGGAGCCCTGGCTGAGTTGATGAACAGGCCTGGTGACTATCTCAGAGGGCTGGCTAGCTCATAAAATGCCCAGCCAGGAGAGATGGAGAGCTCCAGGGATTGGGTAGGGCATAAAGGACCTCTGACCTCTAGGTGGCTGGTTTCGACCCTGGGTTGATTGTCTACAGAGAAGCAGTGTGGGACAGTGGCTAGAGCATGGTTGCACAGGGCCAAGTGCTAGTAATAATACTTATCTGTGGCTATACAAGCTGCTGCTGAATAATTTTTGCAGTTTGGTTGCCTGTGCGAAACAAGTTGGGTGGCGTCGATCCAGTTCCTAGAGGGCATGGAATTGAGCTACCTTCTCCCCCCTGAGCAGCATTGGCAGGCAGCAAGGTGGGGAAGCTTGACCTAGAAATACACCTCTGTGAGTTGTGGTCACTGAGGGCTGCTAGTCCTTAGATGCACGCCTGGTGTAAGCACAGCAAAGAGGCGTGACTAGGTTTGGAAGATGCTGGCTCGTCCTTCTTGGGTTGCGAGTGTAGTTCATGGAGCTTCTGTCTCATCCCGTAGGGTGAACGGGGCCTGCCAGGCTTCGATGGAGACAAAGGCGAGAAAGGGGAGGATGGGCCTTCAGGAGAAAAGGTAGGAACCTCCTTATTTGTTGCGGGTCTTAGGCAGCTTCATTTGTGATATTCAGAGCTTATATGTGCACTGCTGCCCTCTATAGGATATCTTGCAAAGTATCCGCTCAACGCACTCTACTGGCTGGTGTTCGGGGGCTCATTTAGCCCTGGTCTACACTACAGAGTTAGGTCGACACAAGGCAGCTTACTTTGACTTAACTCGCTAAGCGTCTACACTAAAATTTCACTCCCACTGACGTAACTCGCCCACTACACCGTCTTAATAACACCACTTCCACAAGAAGCATAAAGTCAGCATTGATGTAGTTAGGGTAACGCAGTGTCAGTGTAGACCAGGGGTCGGCAACCTTTCAGAAGTGGTGTGCCAAGTCTTCATTTTTTCACTCTAATTTAAGGTTTCGCATGCCAGTAATACATTTTAACGTTTTGAGAAGGTCTCTTTCTATAAGTCTATAATATATAACTAAACTATTGTTGTATGTAAAGTAAATAAGGTTTTTAAAATGTTTGAGAAGCTTCATTTAAAATTAAATTAAAATGCAGAGCCCCCCAGACCAGTGGCCAGGACCCGGGCAGTCTGAGTGCCGCTGAAAATCAGCTCCCATGCTGCCTTCGGCACGAGTGCCATAGGCTGCCTACCCCTGGTGTAAACACTGCATTGCCTACATCAACTGTGGCTGGCTTTCAGAAGCCATCCCACAATGCCCCACACTGACAGCTCAATCGGGCAAGCTCTCCTGGTGAGGCTGTATATCTCAGGGGGCAGGGATAGCTCAGTGGTTTGAGCATTGGCCTGCTAAACCCAGGGTCGTGAGTTCAATCCTTGAGGGGGTCATTTAGGGGTCTGGGGCAAAATAATCTGTCAGGGCCAGTACTTGGTCCTGCTGTGAAGATAGGGGACTGGACTTGATGACCTTTCAAGGTCCCTTCCAGTTCTACATTTCTATGGTTCCCCTGACACAGGGAGCAAAGTGATGTAATTACTGTGGGGCAGTTCTGATTCTCTCCACTAGAAGGCAGCAGTGTACATACACTCTAGTCAGTTGATTGTGGTATCATCAGGGAAAATGGTCTAACTTCCCCTTCATCGGAGAACTGGGATTATGATTCCTTAAAAACAGCTCAGTTTTGCTTTGTGTGGCTGCTGCAGATCCCAGGGCATTTTCAGTACGGGCTGGTTGGCTTTTCTGTTCTTCCCTATATGCAGCTATTCTGCAGCGCGCTGTGCCTTGGTTCCCTCACCTACGCACATGTAGAGTTGTATGGTGCTTCGGGATCCTTAAAGGTGCTAAATCAATGCAGGACACTATTATAATTCTCCACCATTTCCACCTGTTCCTCCACTGACTGCCCATTCAGGAGCAATAGCTGCCAGCGATGTATTTGATGCAGCTCCTAAAAAGGAGGCAGCCGCTGGTCCCGTGGCATATTCTGCGTAAGAAGTAAATTCCCTGCCTCATCAGTCAGGATTCCCCAGGGCTCTGAGAGCTACACCAAGTGACCCCTGTTAATCAAACATCTGGATCAGCGCTTCTAAACGATGGCGCAGAACAAGCCTTTGAGAAGCCAGCAGTGGGGGATTGGGAGGGTGGGAGTGGGGTGGGGATCTTCTTTCTCATGAGGTGATCCACAGAGTGAAAATGTTGGAAAACCTAGTCCCTAGGGGAAATTATGGGTGCCAACTGAGTGGCGAGGAGGCCCCAATCTAGAATCCCAAGTAAAGGTGTAGGGGGGCAGGAGGCGAGGTATGTTTTTAAATGGAAATGACAATTTCTGAATAAACAAGGCTCATGGTTTGTGTGTTCGATTTTAGGGGGTCAAAGGCGAGGCAGGTGCGAAAGGGGCCTTGGGGCTGTTCGGTGCCAGAGGACCAGTGGGGCAGAAGGTTAGTACAATGGCCCAAAGGAATGCTGAGAAACCTACATGGTTACCATCATAGCTTGTCGCTCCACAACTGCAACTGAACCCTGGCTTTGTCACTTACCTTGAATAGTTTGGGGGGCTGGGGCGGGGGAGACAGGATCTTCACAGTGGGGCACTGCACCAGGCAGTATTCAAGTGTTTGTCTAGGCTAGACATTCCCCAGCTTCCACTTCAGTCATCTTGTCCCCAGGTTTTGCCGCCCCAACTCACACTCCATTTAGAGCACGCCAGTAGTTTTGTTTGAGGTCAGTGTTCTGGAGGAAACAGGTTGTCCAGTGTTTCCCGCCATTTGGTTCTTCTGTAGCCTTCCTCAGTGCTATTTTGGGAGTAAGGGATTTTCAGAGGCAAAGCTCTTTCTAGACTTCAGCCTCTTGGATGGTGGAACGTGTCCATGCAGTGGGGGTCTCCAATCACACACCTGGTTTTGGCTCTCCTTTTGACTGAAGACAACCAGCTCACTGGTGGTGGTGCATTCCCCCCAAGCTACATAGTATAAGGACAGTGTGGAAATAGGTTTCAAAGTTCTTGTGATGATCTTTGAGTTCAGTATCAATTTTGTGTGCCTGGCTTGAGCATGACCCTACTGGGGCACCGTACTCTGCAGTCGAGTAACACAGGGAGAGACTGGTGACTTGGAGTGGTTTGGGGTCATTTGATTAGTTTCTTGAGTACACAGTTCCTGGAGTTCACTTTCTTGTTCAGCTTCTTGATGTGCTCTTTGAATGTCAGCATTCAGTCTAATGTGACTCCCAGGTACCCTGGATGTTCGTAGTGCTCAAGGATTGTACCATCCCATGGGTAGCTGGAGCTAGTGCTTGACCTGACGGTGTTTCCGGTGGAAAGCGCACACTTGTGTCTTGCTAGGGTTGGCGATCAGGAACCATGTGCTGTAATGCTCTCCAAGTGGTCGGGGCACGAGACTGGAAGCAGGAAGTCTTGAGCCTGGGGACTGTGCTGACTCCTTTTGTGGCCTTGGGAATTACTCAAACTCTCTGGGGCCCCTTGCTCTAAGGTCCCTCGTGGTGTAAAGAGGCCTTAAAGGCTGCAGATTTCTCCCCCTCCTCCACAACTTCCTGTGAAACGCCTCTGAGGGTACATCTACACTACCCGCCGGATCGGTCTATCGGGGATCGATTTATCGCCTGTAGTGTAGACGCGATAAATCGAGCCCCGATCGCTCTCCCGTCGACTGCTGAACTCCAGCAGTGCGAGAGAAGAAGCAAAGTCGATGGGGGAGCGGCGGCCGTCAATCCCGCGCCGCGAGGACGCGAAGTAAGTGATTTTAATTCGATCTAAGTACGTCGACTTCCGCTGCGCTATTCTCGTAGCTGAAGTTGCGTATCTTAGATCGATCCCCAGTGTAGACCAGGCCTGAGTAAGCGAGTTCCCTTGCCATCATAGAGCCAGTGGAAAGGCTGTATGCCAGCCCCCCAACTCTTCCTCCTAGGGAGGCACGTGGGCAGCTCGGATGTGTATTGAAGCAGTCTTGAGGGCTGCTCTGACTTGCACCAGGCCTGGCCAGGTTCCCCCAGCCAGGCCCAGAATACCAGCAGGTGCAGAGGTTCCTGCACTGAGTGCATCTCAGCTGGAAGGATGAATCGGGCCCCTGTGTTTCACTTACCCCATTTATCAACTGGGGATAATGCTACCTCGCTGGGGTGCTGGCCGCCCTCACTGAGGTGCCTAACGCGCGCTGAGGATGCACGTTGCCATAAGAGGAGTTGCTGCAAAAGAAGGGGTTGGAGCAACGTCCACAGAACATCAAATTGCAAACGGAATGAGGTCAGCCAGACCCGTTGTGTTTCAGACGATGAATGAAATCCGTCTGACATCAGACCATTTCGTCGTCCCAGGGCCCATTTTGCAAGAGTTCACGGTGTTACTTCCATCTCCGAACTGAATAATGACTTTCAATTCCCCCTGCAGTTTCTTCAATCAGAGGTTTTATTTTTCACTTCCCATCCTAAATTGTGTGCCCTGTTGCTGTGCGGCGGTTAGACAGCTGCCGCATCCCACCCCAGAGGTGGCTGCGCTACCTTGGCAGTCAGTGTGATAAGCGATGTCTGTATTCGTACAGCTAGCAAAGTGCTCTGGGATGATGATATGGGTTTTGGAGGGGAATCCTTGCTAGGGATAAAGAATATCAAGTGACTGAATGGTAATTGTTTGCACCGTGTATAGAGGACTTTCCTGTGTGTTTAACTCATTTCTCCTTCTCTCCCAGGGAGAACCCGGAGAACCTGGCCTGCCTGGATTTGCTGTGAGTTGTGAGAGCGTTTCATGTTAGTAGCATTGGGATAATCGCCTCATGCTGTACACTGCTGATGAGAGCACCCTGAACTCTAACTTTCTCAGCGAGCAGTCAACAGGCTCTTGAAAGATTATTAAGAATGAGGGAGATGTGCTAACGTTGCCTGGTGTTCAGGTACTTTGATAGCTGGGCTCACAGTACATGGAGGATTCTTGGTACATCCCTTCCTTATGTGGGGATCCATGAATAGCCCCCTCATGACACATCCTGTTCTTTTTCAGGTGCACTCCTGCGGTGGAAGTGCTAGTGGGGCTTTGATGTGCAGTGTGTTCCTCTCTGACTCACTGACAGTTAACGCTGCATGTTTCAAAGGCAGAAGATGCCTCCGGGAAGGAGATAATTTGGGTGAAACTTTCTTGAACACTTGCATGAAAAGGGAGATCTGAACAGCGTGAGGATGGCTGTATGGATCAGTGAGATCAGAGATGCAATTTAATGAGGGCGTTGCATTTTGCATCAAAGAACACCTAAAATATGCATTTCCCCATTTTACTACACTAGCATTTCAGGCGGGGGTACTGTATGGACAGAATTGAAGCTAATATATGTTCAAAATGTCACTTATATATAGGCTTATATATGTCACACTGGCTTTGCGGGAGAGGAAGGGGTCTCGGGACGGTGCGTGGGTGGGGGCCATGGCCAGGGTTAGGGGAGGCCTTTGATACTCGCCGCCCATGACAAAGACCCTGATTCAGTAAAGTACTTCAGCGTGTGCTTAGCTTAAAGCCTATGCAGAGTGCCCCTGAGGTGAGTTTAGGCACGTGCTTAAGTGCTTTCCTGACTAGGTGCCAAAAGGAATAATGTGCCCTGAGCAGTACCCAAGAAAGCGGTGACCCCATCTGGTCAATCTCAGCAGGACTCCGGCATGAAAGTGCAGACCTCTGTTTAGATACGTTGTTGGGAGTCCCTTCAGATTATATACACAGCCCCGCAGAAAATGACTATACTAAAGCAAACTGAGCCATTAGTTAGCTCACCAGCTGCTTGACCCTCTTGAATGGCTGTGGGGGTGATGCTCAGAGTCATTTTGTCTTGCAAATTGCATCCAAACCAATGCTCTCTTCATTCGGTTCTACACTTTGGACGTCATTGTGGTTTTGTATCGTGCTGATTTCCCGACATCTACAAATTTCATCGTATCAGACAAATAACCGCTGGAAATCGGTACCTTGTAAACATTCATGGTTCAGGAACGCCGGCTAATAATCCTTATTAGGATGCAGTTAATGGGGGATATTTCCTGCATTCGGAAGAGTAACCTGTATTGTCGTTGGAGCTGGGCTGGGATGGCAAGATTTCGTTTTAGTTTTGTGAAACCTGTGTCAGCACTGCAGCCAGGCTCCATTTTATCAGAAACCCCAAAATTCACCACGGATGCAGGAGAGAGAACCCCTGGACCTTTCGGCCCGTCGCTGATGGGTACTGAGAGATGGATCTTTCAGGGCAATAGTGCCGAGCATGTGTATGTGCTAGGCAACAAAAGTGATGAGCCAGACAAGTGATTCCAGTCTGCATTCATGAGCCATGCCAAGCAGATGCTAGGTTACCCCACTTTAGCAGCAAGAGTAAGACCAAAGGGGAGCATACAGCCAAGTGCCTTATTAGCACCAGGAGGGTCATGCTTGGACGTGCATCTCCTCAGATGCACCAATTTTTATTGCTCTGAGCACTCGTGGAGAAGGGAGCGGGTGCACATGACCACGAGTCATTAACATAGCTCCATCAGTGTGCTTGGCACTTTGCAGAACAAAGACCGTCAGGTTTGCTGCCCAGGCGGACTTACAAAATGTTCTGCCCACCCGATGCAGAGTAGCACCTTCCCTTGGATGAGCCTGGGTTAAGGGCCTGGTGGACTTGAGCGCTGGTGGACATGAGTGACCAGTGAAGAGATATACTCCAGGAGCAGGGGGACAGGAAGGAAGGACACATATTATGACAAGGCTATTCTGATGCCGCTGCTGTAAATGGGTGTTCTGGGGAGTGATTTGACTGAGGAGAGGGTGAGCGCATGGGAGAGGGATGTGGGTAAGGATGTTGCAAGCACAGGGGTGGAGTGGAAGAAGGTGCAGAGACATGTGGGGAGAAGAAAGGAGGCTTGAGGTTGGTGTCATTGGCAGATCAAGGCCTCCAGGATCGCCAACCCCAAATAGTCAAAAATCGTGAGTCAGGCTCACCCAAAATCCCGAGATTGGCTATAAAATCACGAGATTATGTAAAAATAATGGATGTGGGGTTCTTTTCATTTGCCTTCTGCTTTTTGAGCCTTTAGGGTGCACTGGGGTCACATTTTGAAGCTTCCCCCACAACCGCGAGGGATGACTTTTTTTTTTAAAGAATGAAGGCGGAAATCATCACAGATCCACGTGACTCCAGGAGCTGGGGCTTTAAGGCCAACAGTGATTATCGTGAGCCTCGTGACAAAATCATAAGAGTCGGCAACGCCGAGGCCTCTGTGCTAATGCTAACTCCAGACACCTCCTGTCAAATATATACCTCTAAATCCGGTAGGCAATGAGCCTGTGAGCGGTGGTTACAAACCACCCTGTGGCTCAGGAACATATCAGCTCTTTTATTTGGGTTTTCACTGCTGTTCTGAGCAGAGGTGTCCTGCCTGAGCTTGTCCTTAGGAAGTCCCGTTCCCTCCCTTGCGGTTCACATTTCCCCGATGCGAGTGAAGTAATGCCCAATTTGCTCACTTTAGTGGCAACAGCAGCTCAGTAACCAAAGGGGCTTCGTCTCGGGCTTGCGCCCGAAGCTTGCCCAGTGCTGTAGCTGGAGGCAGTGCTCCGGAGCTGTTTAACCATCTCTTTGCGTCACACCAGCACTCAGCAGTCATGACTAATCTACATCACTTTGCTGTTGTGCTACCTAATCTCTATACAGAGAGCTGAAACCTGTTTGAGGCAGTGCTTTAATGACTGGGTCCACTGAGCATTAGACTTATTGGTAGTTATTTCCAGAACTCCTGCAGTAATTGCCTTTAAATGGCCCGTTTCAGAGCTCTGATCGCCCTGCCTTGATTTGCCTGGAGAAGCTTGAAATGTAAATCTCAGGGAGTAAATTTAAACACCATCAAACTATTCCCCAGCCCTGCCCCAAATGCTTCCCTCTTCCCCACTCATCTCCTTATGTTTTGTCATCTCCCTTTCCTCCAACCCTTCTGAGCTCTCAAAGCTTCTTTTCATGCCCTGCACGCAAATCGCCTTGGAAAAATGTCACTTCCAGGACACCACTCTTAGTGGCTGTGCTCAGCACGCCTTCCTTCGGGGAATGCTGTTCTCCCCTCTTTTTATTATGATTGTTGTTGTATTCTTGTAGCACCTAGGAGCCCTGTCATGAACCAGAACCCCAGGGTGCTAGGTGCTGTATGGAGATAGAAGAAAAAGATGGTCCCTGTCCCAAAAAGCTAAGTATATGTCAAGAGACAACACATGGATACAGACTGGCTGATGCGGGGAAGCAATGAGCCAGTACTGGTGAGCACGGTAGGCAGCAGTCGCAGCCCCAGTGGTTTGAGTATTGGTCTGCTAAAGCCAGGGTTGCGAGTTCAAACCTTGAGGGGGCCATTTGGGGATTGGTCCTGCTTTGAGGTCCCTTCCAACCCTGATATTCTATGAAGTTTTTTGTAGGCCTCTCAGCAAAGGAAAACTTTCCCCGGGGACCGAAGTGGCTCTGAGGATGTGTACGGGGAATACCTCCCCAGTCTGAGGGGCAGCCTGGGAGAAAGCCTGAAGGGGCTCGTTGGAGAATTTCAGAAGCAGGCAATGAAGGCCCTTCTGCGTCTTCTATGCGCGCAGTAGCCCACTTTTCCTATTGCTCGTAAACTATATACCAAAGTCACCAACCAAACGAAAAGTTGGGTGCCTGGCAACCGAGTAGCTGCCCCGAGTACAATCCTGTCCAGGTCTCTAGGTACGTACCTGATGTGGCGAGCTCACCCCACCCAGGCTGCAGCGGCTACGTGGCTGGTTTTTGTATGCTCGCACGACAAGAGCAGGTGCAGCTATGTCTGCCCACGCTGGAAGTTACAGCTCCAGCGTGGACCTCTTCAGCTCCCGTGATGAGGCTCCAGTTGGGATGGAAATAACCACATACAGGTATTTACCCAGGGGCTGGATAATTCTCTTACTGGCGATATCTGTGCACGGAGTGGTTACACAGGCGCAGTCTAAAAGCTTAGTGTCACCCCCATGTGACATGGGAGCTTATGGTTTCAGGACACAAAGACAGCACAGAATATGCTGATCTCAGTGGAAATGCCATGGGCAAATTGACAACTTCCACGCCCAGACAGTGACTAGGGGTCAGACTCTGCTTTTAGTAGCACTGTAAATCCAGAGAAACGCCCCCGAGTAACATCCCCTGAGCCCAGAAGTGTTGAGCCAGGGGAGCATGGTCCAAATGGGGTGATAGGACTGCACTTTGCACGGCCAGTTTTCAGACGCCAACAAACGTGAACTACTGTGGATTTTCACTGGTGTAACAGACAGCAGCATCTGGCCCACTCTGTGTAACTGCAAAAGGCTCCTAATCTGTCAGTTCATAGAATATCAGGGTTGGAAGGGACCTCAGGAGGTCATCTAATCCAACCCCCTGCTCAGAGCAGGACCAATCCCCCACTAAGTCCCCAAATGGCCCCCCTCAAGGATTGAACTCACAACCTTGGGTTTAGCAGACCAATGCTCAAACCACTGAGCTATCCCAATATTATATGATGAGAAATGGATTTTAGTCAGGTACAGTGAATGTAAAATATGCGCCTCTCCAACCCAAGACTGGATTTGATTTTAGGGGAGGCAGTGTGGTCTAGTGGATAGATCACAGGGCTGGGCGTCAGGAGGCTGAGTTCTAATCCTGCTGCTCCCATGGCCCTGCTGTGTGACTCTGGGCAAGCCATCTGTGTTCCCTCCCACCTTTGGTTTGTGTAGACTGTCAATGATTTGGGGCAGGGACTGTCTCACAGTATGTGTGTGTATATAGCAGCCAGCACAATGGGGCTCTGATCCCAGTTGGAGTCAGTAGATTCTCATATAATCACATGACTCCAAGAGCTGGGGCTTGAAGTCAAAACATCAAATATTGGAAGACTCTCCAACATCTCAGCTTCCCACAAGGTTTAATCACCCACCAAAGGGGTTTATTTCTCATTCCCTTCCCAGGGCGACCTTTACCCTGTAAATAATCCGGCTTAGACAGCAAATGGAACCCTGTTATTTGCTTCGTTTGTACATGATATTTACTTACCCTGCCACAACACGGAATTGACCATGTCATTAAACAATCACTGGTCTCCGTGGAAATAAAGAGGACGTATAGGGTATCATGCCTTCTGATTAATTATAGCAATTAATTGCCGGAGTGGAGTGCTTCCTGAAACCCTTGGGCCTGCTGACCCGATCTGTAGGCATCATATCGGAAAATCAGGCCCTGTTTATGGTAATTGTGTTGGATACACTGTAAATGTTTCAGAAGTGGCAGATAGCGACTTGGTGGGCGGGGGGGAAGGGAGGGGACGAGGACTGAAACAGCAGCCTACACACCTGTTGTTCATTCTTCAGGCAGGGAAATGGCCCTTTTAGAGGTAATGGACTCTCTCTAAATAAGACTCTGATGGCTGATTTCTTTTTAATAACTGAATCTTTCTTTTCAACAAAGGACTGCAAATTGATTCAAACCGCTGAGTGCCACTTACTCCTCTCATGAGCTGTTTAAGCAGCCGGCTCGCGCTCGTTCGCCTGCCATTGAGTGCTCTGCAGTCAGTCATCATTGTCGAAGGGGGGACGAGTCCAACTTCAGTCAGCAGAAATGTTGGAGTTCTTAATTATGAAGTTGAAGGTGGCAAAACTAGATAAATAAACTGCAGCTGAACCAGCAGCCTTTGAAATGTTGGACATTTCTACTCGCTCAGTTTCCAGGCCTGGCTGCTGGGTCAAACTGTGGGCTCAAGCGTTGCGAAAATGTCATTGTAATCATTGATGATCTCAAAGTGTCACTATCCCCATTTTTCAGATTTGGGAAACTGAGGCATGGTATAGGTACGTGGCTTGTCCAAAGTCTTACAGCAGGCCAGTGGCAGAGCCAGGAAGCAAACCCGGAGCTCCTGCTCCCAGTCCAGTTCCTAAGGAAATTGCAGTGCAAGGTGAAACCTTTCACAACTTCACGCAGATTTTTCCAGAGCAAACTTTTGACCTTCCCGCCCCCCTCCCCCCCCCGAGATACTTGGAGACTAAGCTCAAGAGGTTTATGGGGCATGGCAAAGTACAGCTGGAGAAAACTCAATAGCCCTGCCTCAAACAGTCACAAGGTAAGACCAGAAATAACAGGAGGTGGTGACAACATGGGATTGATAAAAGAATCACTAGGTGAAATTCACTGGCCTCCTGGTCAGATTAAAGGAAAATAATGGTCCATTGAGGCCTTCAAATCTATGAATTTATGCACGTCTCAGAATTGCTGCTGTTTGTTTATTTTCAAATTTCATGCAAAGACAAGATTGTAGCCAAGAGGGAGACGGGGGGAGAGGGAGATTGACTTTCCCTGTTTTCATAGCAATATCCTGCATTCGTTGGCGGATAGATCCTTATTTTGCTTCAGACCAAGTGTGAGCGATTCTCCATTCCTCTGTGCACCCCTCGCTCCCGAAATAAAAATGGGTCACTTCGCCCAGTTTGGTATTCAGGGCTTTAATGCATGTTTATCACTGAACTGTGTTGCGACCTATGGCAAGTCATTCAACTGCCGCATGCCTCAGTTTCCTCATCTGTAAAATAGGGATAATAAAACTTCTCACAGGTGCAAGGCTTGACCTGTGCAAAAGCCTTGGAGACCCTCGGGGGACAGTGCGATATGAATACAAAGTTGCAGCATTGATATTAGTACATTTTTTCTGCTTCTGATCTATGCCCAGGAGGACACGCTGCCTTAGTCCTATAATTTAGTTTTCGTTTTTGTTAATGCACCCAGAAGCCTCCCAGCAGGCAGCATGGAGAAATTAATATTACTCCTCTTATCACAGGGCATGGCTGGCCTTGATGGGAAGAATGGAATCAAAGGAGCTAAAGGTGACCGAGGTCTGCACGGTCAAAAAGGGGAACCGGTGAGTCTCGCAAAGAAAGACAGAGGGATATTTTGAAGGCTGAAAAATTGGCTTGGTGCTTTTTCCAGTATTGCCAGCCCCAAGGTGTTTAAAAATCACAAGTCAGACTCACCAAAAATCATGCGATTGGCTCTAAAATCATGAGATTATGTACAAATAATAGATGTGGGGGTCTTTTATTTGCCTTCTGCTTTTTGAGCCATTAGGGTGCACTGGGGGTAGAGTGACCAAATGTCCCGATTTTATAGGGACAGTCCCGATTTTTGGGTCTTTTTCTTATATAGGTTCCTATTATCCCCCACCCCCGTCCCGATTTTTCACATTTTTCTGTCTGGTCACCCTAACTGGGGTCACATTTTGAAGCTTCCTCCACAGCTGTGAGGGCTAGAAACTGACTTTTTCTTTAAGAATGAAGGCTGAAATCATCACAAATCCACGTGACTCCAGAAGCTGGGGCTTTAAGGAAAACAATAATTAGCATGAGACTCATGACAAAATCATGAGAGTTGGCAACACTGCTTTTCTGACCCAGATTCGGTATTCCCGCCAAAACACGAATCCTCAGCATTTGGCGCAGTCCCTCAAATGCTTTTGTTGTTGTTTGTGAGACTTGCTGTAAGCAAAATTACTGCTGACACCACCGGAGAACTCTGAACAATGCTGTGGGCAGATTCTCAGCCTGTATAAATTGGCGTAGTTCCATTGGACACTGATTAGCACCCGCTGAGAATCTGCCCTGAGTCTCTCGTGACAGAATTTTACATTCTCCCAGGGCAAGTTCAGCTTTCCAGACGTTTACCTTCATGCTACTTCCAACCACAATATCCACAGCGCTGGTAAAACTGGTGTGGAGAGAAGGGGAAAAAATCAGCCCGCTGCTAGTTCCTCAGACAGGATAATTTTTCCAGGAAAGAGATTTTCTTGTTACAGGAGGCAAGAGGAATTGTGGTGGGAGCTTTCCTCTGCAGGCAAAAGTGAATTTTCCCCTGGGGCAAAGCCGGGTCTGTAAATTAACTCTTTTGTTTCCTGGTGGAATTTTGTCCTTTTCTCTCATTAACCCTTAAAAGGCCTTCAACCTCTCCAAAGCGGAGCAGGGGGGAAAGGGAACTCTTTCTGGTTTTGACTCTTCCTGGAAAGTGGCCAAAATCTGTGGCAAAAGAATTTGAAAAAGTTTTGCAAATCTATCGAAAGGCAGCTCTGAGCAGAGCCAGGGCAGCACATCAGACTGCTTGTGTTACAACTCCTCGGAGCCCTTTAGAGCATTCAGTCAGGGAGTAAGCCAGGCACTACAATGTTCAGAGCAGTAACTAATGTATGAGTGTGGCGGGGCGACGACTCACTGGCGTGGCGCCTCCTGCTGGCCGTCTCGGGAATTAGCTCTTTCCAGCCCAGAGCGCCCTCTGCAGGCTGGTGTCTCGCCTGCCGCTGGCCCCCGTATCCCTCCTGGACCCCGGTGCCCTTTGCCCAGGGGTTCTCCCCACCGCAGTACCCCCCCCGCTCTGGGTCTCCCCTCACAGGGGAACCCCCAACCCTCTATCCCCACCTTGCCTCAGTGGCTACTGCCAGTCACCATCTAGCCCCCGCTCACTGGGCCAACTGCAGTCTGTAAACCACTCATCATCGGCAAGGGGGGGTTGGGCCTGCTGCCTCTGCCTATCTCTGGGCTGCCCCTCCGCAGCCCTAGTACCTATTTGGTCCTTTTAGCAGGGCCTGCAGCCTGGGGGTTTTCCTGCTGGAGCTCCCCAGCTCCCTCTGCCCTTCCCCAGCACTGCTCCACCTCAGATACCCTTCCCAGCTCCCCAGGCAGCCAGGACCTTCTCTCTCCAGAGGTGAGAGAGAGAGTGTTTGTCCATCTGGCCCACCGCCCTCTTATAAGGGCCAGCTGGGCCCGGATTGCACTGGCTGCAGCTGTGGCTGCTTTCCTAATCAGCCCAGCTTTTCCCCTGCCACAGCCCCGGGCTATTTTAAGCCCTTCAGGGCAGGAGCAGGGTAACCACCCTGCTACAATGAGCTAATAGGGTTACCATACATCTTCTTTTTCCCGGACATGTCCGGCTTTTCGGCAGTCAAACCCCCGTCCGGGGGGAATTGCCAAAAAGCCGAACATGTCCGGGAAAATGGCGGCTCTGCTCCTGCCCGACTCTTCGGCTCTGTTTAAGAGCCGGGCTGCCGGAGCGCTACTGGCTTCGGGCAGCCCCCGTGCCTCCAGACCCTGCGCCCCCAGCCGGGCACTTCCCCTCCGCAGCTGGAGCCCGGGAGGGGAAGCGCCCAGCCGGGGGCGCAGGGTCTGGAGGCACGGGGCTGGCCGAAGCCAGGAACGGTCCGGCCAGCCCGGCTTTTA